AAAGAAAGAAAGAAAGAAAGAAAGAAAGAAAGAAAGAAAGAAAGAAATCTAGCCCTTAAATCCCAGGATATCTTTCGAGGTTTGAGCAATCAAAATTTATATTCCTTTGGCCAGAACACCTGAAGGTAAAGGTATGAATGATTCCCTATGTGGACAGAGGAAGAGAAGAGAAAAAGGGAAAGAGTGAGAGGAAGGAAGCCACCACTTTATTTTAGCACAGGAAGAACGAAGAGGGTTGGGAAATGGAAAGGTAACAATGCCATAATGGATAGGGCACTAAATTTGGAATCAAGAAGACCTGGGCTCAAATACTGCCTCAGACATTTTCTATTTGTGTGACCTGGGACAGTTCCTTAACTTTTCTACGGCAGTTTCCTCATCTATAAAAAGATGGGACTGGACATGATGACTTTTAAGGACTCTTTCAGCTCTAATGGAGTCAGCACCACTTTCAAATTTCAGCAGGAAATGTTTTGTAACAGCTTTCTTTTGGCAACCTGGTGAAGAAGCCCATGGACCGTTTTTCAGAATAATGTTTTAAAGTGCATAAACCGCAGGATTACAAAGAAAACAATGTTGAAGTACAGTTATCAAAATATTCTGCTAAAAAAAATTCACAGACACCAGGTTAGAAACTCCTGGAAATTATCACACTCCTTTTATCATGTGCTTTTTTTTTTTTTTAACAGCGTTTTCCCCCCCTTATCTAAGCTGTTAATAGACACTTTTAACAAACAAGGCAAAATGAAGTTTCCCAAAGAAGATAAAAGTTTACTATTCACTCAGCCCACAGGACAAAGAGGATCCCAGAAGTCATCTAAACCAAACCTCTTCCTTTTACGGATGAAGAAAATGATACTCAAAGTTAAGTGACCCATCCGGTATTTGAACCCAGGACCTCATAAACACAGTATTACTGCACCATGCAGTTTAATGGCTGGAATTTGTCCCACGGTAAACATATAACTACAGTAATGTCCCCTCTCCAAGCAGAAAATCAATTCCCTTTCTGCTCTAGTTTAACTCGCCCCAAATAGAAAGGAGGGGATCCTCGCTCTCTGCAGCCACTCCGCACACTGGGACTTAGGCAGAGTTATTGGATTCAGCCTTAGAACCCTCCCGATACCACTCACCTCCATCCTACAGCTCGGGTAACAGCAACCCTCGCAGCCCCAGAGGGCTCTCAGCGCTACGCTAATAAAAGACAGCTGCTCCAGCCCAGCGGATTGACTCTAGCCACTGGGGCTCCGAGCCACGGGGCTCCTGCTTACCGTGGGCCAGGAGACTCCGAGAATCCAACCAGCAAAGCCTCTGCTCCTCCCACCTTCGTCCCCGCGGGGCTTCCACAGGCCCTTGACCCAAGTAGGCAATGACTTCTAGTTTCACAAAGGCTTCCCTCAATACAAACTTAAATGAGCAAAGTTTTGAACAAATTTTGTGTAAAAGCCTTTTTTGCATTAGGACAACAGCAATTTCAGAAGAAATGTTAAGGCTTGTGGTGTCCCTGACCCCACCCCCACCCCCCATCCCGCCAAACAGAGCCTTTCGGGAGTTTACCCAAAGGAGAGTCAATCAATGCGCAAGGCGAACCACATGAAAGAGGGGGAAGGTGCAAATTTAACAGCTGCAGGATGGCTGCAGAGGTGGACTCTGCCCTACCGGTAAAGAGCTAGCAAGAAGCATTTATTAAACCATGATAATAATGGTAATAATAATAATAACAATAGCCAAGATGTGCATTCCATTGTTTGTAAAAGGTTCTACTTGCAGATTGGAAAGGTTTTTGCTTATCACAGAATATTGGAGTCAGACTGAACCTTAGAGAACTTCAGAGGCTATCTAAAACTGTCCCTGATTCTCAACCCTCACCACCTCTAAGTGTTTCAGTGTTCCATGCAAATCGTCAATTAAACACCTACTTTGTGCTAAAAAATAGTGTTAGGCTCTGGGGATACAAAGGTAAAAATGAAATTGTCCCTACCTTACTCAAGGAATTTACATTCCACTCTGTAGTTTTCAAGGACTTCATGGTTTCATGGGACTTTGGTTGCTTCATTATTCTTGGCATTCTAATTGGACTAGAGTGCCTTCACTTTTGACTTCCCACTTAATCCACAAGGGTTGGTTCCAAGATGCCCTACTCCACTCACTCAGCCAGAATTCTGAAGGCTCATCCTTCCACATTTCCCAGTGCCCAGTGAATTCAGTTTTGTAACAATCCTGATCTGTATCACGTCCTTCCACTAAACAGCCTTCTCCAGATTCAGGATACTGCTTGGGAAAATAGAAAAAGGCACTCTTGATCCTAAGTTGGGAACTAGGGAAGGTGCAGAGGAAGGTCAATAAGACTAATCAAGTCTCTCCAGGAACTTCATTTGCCTATGTCAGAAGGAATGACATGCCTACCCATCCCGAGCACCACCACCACAAGCACCCCAGATCAAGGTGGGAATGCTTTGATAGTAATTATTTATTCATTTCAAAGAATTCCAGGGGTAACTGGTGTGGTTAGGTGAGGTTGAGTTTGGATATATGAGAGAATTAACCAGACCATAAAATGATGGACTCAAAGAAATTCTCATCTTGTAGGTTGCTTTGCACCCAGAAAATGCTCACAACCAGCACCATGGAGAAGAAAAGTGGAGGCCACTGTGCTATGGGACAGTCTCTTCTATGGAAGTAAGAACCAGTATGTGTTCTACTAGAGAGTTTGTGGACAGGTGAGATAGCAGAGGCTATCACTGCTTCACTCCCTCATGCCGCAAAAGAAAGTAAGGCCCTAGAGGTGCCTGTAAAAGCTCTAGTGGAGGGAAAATACAAGCTAATAAAATTAGATAGTGGCAGCACAAACACCAAAGATGTTGCACTAGAAAGCATCTTGGGGTTGGCTGCCAGCTGCCCTGGGTTTAATATTAGTCTCTGCCACTTAGTAGCTATGACTGTGGACAAATCACTCTCAGCTATGGGCTTGTTTCCCCTCTGTGAGATTGGGTTGGAATATCATTACAAAGTCCCCTTTTGGTTCTGTAATTCTGTAAGGTAGAGAAGAGTTCCCCATATCTTTAGGCTTAAGCAAAGTTGTCTATAAGTGTCTGCTTTAATAGATAATATTCATCTGGATCCCACTATAATTTTTTTCTATTTTTACTGAAATATTTTGTATTTATATTCCTCAAGTGTATATCCTTCCTCTTTTCCTCTCTTAGCTATCCTTTAAAACAAAGAATTAAAAAGAAAGATAGGAGGAAACAGTTAAGCAGAACTAACAAACATCTCAGCCAAGTAGAACATCATATGCAGAGTTCCATGTTCATCATCCCACTTCAACAGGGAAGGGAATACCTCATTGTCACATCTTCTTTGGGGCTAGGATTGGTCACTCAAATGCAAATGCATTCAAATAGCTTTCCAGAGCTGTTATTTCGTAGCTTTTCCGTGGAAGGTAGATTCAGAGGCAGGAGCCCTCTACCTTTCTGAACCTCAGGGGACAGGACTTGGCTGGGAACCTCACCTAAGGTAGGAAACTCGCCGCCACTACTTGTGCACTAAAAGTGCTTGCTCGTGGCCAGTTCCCTTCACCTGGGAGTGCCCAACTCAGGCTCACTCTAGTCTCTCAGAGTCTTTCAGGATTCAGTGTTTGTCCACTGATCAGATCAACAGTTCAGAAGTGACAGGACTTTGGGCACAGGAAGGGTGGGGAGAAGAAAATACCCTCCCTTCTCAGTCTACATAAAGCAAGGAGGAGCCTCCACTGGCTAGTGGTGAAGTGTGCACGCAGGGCACATTCATCCTTGCAGCCCGTCCTCTTCAGCACCAAAGTCCTGGACTGGGACACAGCTCATAATGACTGCTCTCCCTCTCCATGGCAGATGCTTTCCCCTCTCTCCCTCACTGGCCTCCTTAATTTCTAAAACTTAGTTCTTTTTATTTTAATAGGGGAAAAACCCCTCTAACTTCCTTCTCAGTTTGAAAATTATTGTCCCTTTTTTTTTTTAATCTCAGGGTCGGGGGCTTGGGTGGAAGTGTTTCCCCAATCCCCTTGGGGCAAGGAAGAGTAAGGAAAGCAGAGAAAGAGAAGGTCAAAAATGGCAACGGATGCCTTTGAGGAGGTCGACTGCACGTGTTCCTACGGAATGAAACTCAACTGGGACATCAATGATCCCAAAATGCCTCAAGTAAGTGAGAATTGCGTTGAAGAGCTAGGTCTATTGAGACCACTGCGGTTTTCCTTCAAAAGAAAGGCAGAAATGTACATCTATCTATCTTTCTGCCAACTATTTAGTTTTATTTTGCATAGATACCAGTGAAACCCTTTATCGGAGTAATGACCTGAAGTTTAGGTCCAGTTTCCTATTTTTCCAGAAATAAGCCCCTCAGTCTCTTGCAGTGGAAAGGGATAGAGACTGTGACCCTACCGTCAACAAGTCAACTTTCAGAAATTTTACTTTGTCATGCAATTTTGAAGTGATTAGATTGAAATAGGATAAGAGAGAGAACACAAATGCATCTCTGATCTCCACATCCTGATTCTCCCAAAAATTTCTCCCTGAAGCCTGGGCCACAATTTTCATTTAGTAAAGTTACTCTTAGAAAAAGAAAACTTGTGTTTTTCTTGAAATGTACAGGAAAGATTTTAAAGACTATTTCATATGATTTACATATTATTACTTCTAAGTAAAAACATGAGGTGTGACTATGAAATAATGTAACTAATTTTTATTCAAATTTGCCAGTCTCTACATCAGACTGAGAATTGTCCATTGCAAAGGAGTCACAGTAGGAAACCTCTTCCAGTAACACTGGCAATGCTCAAACCATTTTTGTTGCTCTACTTCTCATACTGCCCTCCAAGACTAAATATCATTCTCTTGAATATACACAACCATGGTATATCTGCCTTCTTTAACAGTGGATTTGAATTTTGGAAGAAACCATGTTGTTTCCCCTAAACTAAGTTACTTGAAGGCAGGGACTGTTTCTTTTTTGTTGTTTGTTTGTTTGCTTTTCTTTATATCCCCAGAATTAGTATAATACTAGGCATTTAATAAGTGCTCACTGATTGATTTTTCAACCATCCAAAATCAGCAGAATTCAAAACTAGTGAATAAGGTAAGTAATTAGACTGAGTAGTATCATTTTGGGGGGGAAAAAAGGTATAATTAGAAAGCAACTTAAATGACTTCCTTATGTGAGCCTTTAAAAGTCTAGAAAGATATTTCTAATCTGTAAAATGAAGACATTAGACTAAATGGAACCTAATTCTATATATTTAGAAAATAACTGCGTCTTAGGAGAGTTAGAGGCAGCTTTGTTTAATGGAATCATAGACTTCTAGTCAAGAGACCTAGAGTTTATAGGCAATCATAAGACAAAAAGAGTTTAGAGTCAATTAGACCTTAGGAATTAGTTAATCGAAAGATTTCATTTGATGAGGTAAGGAAACTGATGACCACAGAACCCTAACCTGGCCACTTCATAAAAAATGTGGGACAGGGGAAAGAATGTTGGCTTGGGAGATGAGATCTAAGAGCCCTGGCTCTTCACTAAATTGATGTGTAACTACAATCTTAAAATATTGAATTCTTTATTGTACTAAATCCATGATGTGTGGTAAAGTATAGAGCTTGGGGTCAAAAGATTCATCTTCAAATCCCAGCTCTGCTATTTACTACCTGTGTGATCACAGGAACTCTCTGGTCTTCAGTTTCATCATTTATGAATTAAAGGGATTGGAGTAGATGATCTCTAAGGTATCTTCCAGCTCTAAATCCTATGAAAGGGTTTAATTTTGATATTTGTCAAAAATAGACTGAGTTCTTAAATGAATAAACATAATTAGTTCTCTCTTTGAGTGAAAGGGAGAGCTCCTGTGGCCAAATGAAATAATAATCATAAAACAATTAGCATAGTGTCTGGCACATTGTCAGCACTATATAAATGTTAGTTCTTTCTTTTTCTTTCTTTCCATTTCCTAGGTAGAGAACAGATGTAATATTTCCAGAGATACAAAAATGTCACTAAAGTTGTTATGAGGAGATTTGGATTTTTAAAAGTGAGAGGTCAATATATAGAAAATGAATCCCACTTTGGAAATCCTTCTACAGTTTTTGGACTTTGAACATATTATCCATTTGGTTGTGTGAAAAAGTATTCCTGGAAGGGCAAGATTAGTTTTCTGCCACCAAACCCCAAAGCTGCCACCCACAAAAGTTTCTTTTCTATCTATCCTATTCCCAACAAACTAACTCTCAACCCCAAGGAAAACTGACTGATCATTCCCTGGCTACGGTTATGTTGTACACTTTTCTCTTCAATTCAATCAGTACAAGGTCTGGGTTCAAAAGCTTTACTAGAAAATTCAGTTAAATAAACATTTATTATTGGTGACATCATGGTACAATGGAAAGATCACTGGCTCTGGAGTCAGAAGACCTGGATTCAAATCCTGCCTCTGAAACCTGACACCTCTGTGACTTGGAACAAGTCTTTCAAACCACACACACACACCCCTTCCCTGCCTCATATTCTGATCTGTAAAATGAGAGAGTTTGACAAAATGGTCTTCGAGGCCCTTTTAGTTCTAGATCTGTGAACCTATGATGAGTAACTAATATTTACAAGGTATTGTTCTAGGTACTGGCAATACAAAAGCAAAAGTGAAAAAGTGCTGCCTTTGGAGAGTTCATGTTCTCTTGGATTGAGAGAGACTAAGATACAATGAAACAAAGTGCTGCTTTTAAGATGGTAAAGTCACTTTAGAATAGATCTGCTCTTGACCCTCTCCTTCATCCTTTCTTCAGCCCTCTCAACCTGGTGAGGGAAAGGGTTGATTGGCCCGACCTAGTCTTGTCTACCCAATAACTAATCAGTAAATTAGAATTCTTCACCAATACAAATAACTTTTTAAAATCAATAATCAATAGCTGAAGTTCATATAAAACCTTTATGTTTACAAAAGGCTTGTCATAAATTATCACATAGGATCCTCCTTTTTGTGCCTTTATCAGGTAAGTAGTAGAAATAGTATTTTCTCCATTTGACAAATTAGGAAACCAGGACTCAGAGAAACCAGGATCATGCAAGCACCAATTAGTGACTCTGGGATTTGAACTCACGTCTTCTGACTACAAGTCCAGTGTTCTTTACAGTACAGCACAGTTGCCTATAAGACTAGCTAACATTTATATAGCAAGCTAAGTGTTTTATAATTATCATTTCATTTGATCCTCACAACAACCCTGGAAGCTGGGTTCTGGTATTATCCCCATTTTGTGGATGAGGAAACTGAGACAAACAGGTTAAGTGATTTGTCCAGGGTCACACAGACAGTAGGTGTCTGAGGCCAGATTTGAACTCAGCTCTTCCTAACTGCAGACCTAGCACTTTATTCACTCTACCTCCTACCTGACCATGACAACTGACACATGCAAATAACAAAGTGCATCCTTTTATCTATTGTTAGTAAAGATATTGTGGTCCCTTCAAGGAAGGAAAAAAGAAATGGAAAAAAAAAGTGCTAAATAAAACCCTTTTCTTCCTCTCAGAGACTGGACATTCACTGATCACAATCACTTCTCTCTTTCTTATAGTGAATGATTTTCAAATGCAGTATTGGTTCTCTTCCTTTACATGAGTCTTAAAGAGAAGGGTCTCTATATTCTGGGGAGGGGAGGAAATGAAAATTGCAGTTTCTTTTTTCAAATAAGAAAGCATTTTAAATTAAGCCTATCATGGTTCTTTTTAGACTATTGCAGTTGCTTCATAATTAAAATTAACCGCACATTGGTTGTATTTCATTTGGGGCTTTATTTTATCTCCATTTTTTTAATCTAGTCAGAGGCCAGTATCCATGGTTTTAGAGGAAGATTTAGGGGCATCTTTCATTGTGGTCAGTATTAAGGTGGTGTGTTATCATGGAAAGGGCCCTAGATTTGGAATAAGAAGATCTGTGTCTGATTCTGATCTCTGTCACTTAATACCTGTGTGTCCTTGGACAAGGCAGTAAATCTCTATGGACTTCATTTTTCTCATTTGTAAAATAAAGAGGTTGACTCAGTTTACCATCCAGGGATTAAAACAGCTTTAGTAAAGGCAGTCAGACTGACTTTTGGGTGGGGAAGGGATGGTAGTTGGTGAAGAGAATATATGCAAGGGATATAAGTAAAGATATTTATATATTGAAATCTATTTTGATAAAGGACCACTATCACACATTTCTTGAAAATCCAGATATTACTCAGTGACTAACGCATTATAAAATATAAGGCTTATGATCAACATTTCCAGTGTATTTTTCTGGTTTAATTTTCCTTGGTGACAGCATTATTTTTTTTAATGTTTTATTGATCCTTTTTAACATCATGTTCATTTTCCAACGTGCCCCTTCTCTTCCCCTACTCAAAAAACTTTCCCTTGAAACAAAGATTTAAAAACAAACAAGCAAACAAAAAAGCAATTCACCAAAACCAACCAGCCTATTACCATTACCATTCTGCTTCCATAGTCTTCCACCAGAGACAGGGAGGGAGAAAAGGAGAAAAGTACAATTTCTCATCTATTGGGGTGGAGGCCAAGTTTCAGCATTATAATATCATAGCATTCATTTTCACTTTATTGTTTTTTTCTATTTACGTTGTTGTTATTTTCCTGGTTCTGTTTACTTAACTCTGCATTTATTATTACCATTGTTATCATTATTATAAACATTTACATAGTACCTTAAAATTTGCAAAATATTACATAAATATTATTTCACTTTATCTTCGCAGCAGCCCTGGGAAGTAGATCCTATTCTTACTCCCATTTTACATGTAAGAAAACTGAGGCAGACAGACATTAAATGATATTCCCCGGGTCACACAGCTGGTATGTGTTTAAGGCTCGATTCGAACTTATATCTTCTTAACTCTAGGTCCAGGACTTTTTCTACTGCACCACCTAGTGGCCAAAGACTTCCCATGTGCCTTTGAATTCTTCATAGTCACCATTTCTTGTAGCATAGTAGAATTCCATTACATTCTTGTGCTACAGTTTATTTATCTATTTACCAACCAATGGGTTCCAGTTCTCTGCTTCTACACAAAGTACTGACATAAATATTTTAGAATATAAATTTGTTTCTGTCTTTCTGTCTTTGAGCTCCATGAAGATATTTTAGTTACTTTTTAAAAGCATAATTCTAAATTATTTTTCAGAAATGTTAGACCAGTTCAGCACTCCATCAACAGTGTAATAGTGGGCCAGTCTCTCTACAGCCCCTCCCACATTGACTATTTCCAGCCTTTGGCATCTTTGTCAGTTTGATGGGTATGAAGTGAAACCTCAGAATTTTTAAAATTTTCATTTCTCTTAATGATTTGGAGCAGTCTTTCATATGGTTGAAAATAATTTACAAATCTTTTGAGAACTGTTTTTTCATTGGGGAACTATTTTGAATTGTTGGGGAATTACTCTCGGTCTTACATATTTTTGCTGATTTTCTATATGTCTAGGAAAAAAGATCCTTTTCAGAGTTGAGGAAAATCATTTTTCCTAATCAATGCATCTTGTCCTAATGAGAGAGCATTAACTTGAAAATATTCATGTGGCTTGAGTTAATTCCCATCAAATTTTTATTTAAGATCCCTTTTACCACTAGAATTTGGTGATTTATTGGTTCCAAATATTAAAATAATAATGCTAAAGTATTATTATGTTCTTTTTATGTCACTATTTCACTAATTATTTGTGACATTCACAAAGGCGGCTAGGTGGTACAGTAAATAGAACTCTAGACCTGGACTCAAGAACAAATTCAGCCTCAGACACTAACTAAGTGTATGACCCTGGGCAAAATGCTTTATCTCTGACTCAGTTTCCTCAGCTGTAAAATGAAGATAATAATAGCACCTACCTCCCAGGGTTGTTGTGAGGTTCAAATGAGATATTCATAAAGTCCTTAGCACAGTGCCTGGCACATGGTAGGTCATCAGAAAATGCTTGTTTCCTTCCTTATTTTATAACATTGGGGAAAAGGCATCCATTTGAGGATTTCATGGTGCTTTACAACTATTGGGTCTAATCCCACTGGGAAGGAAAGATAAAACTGCTTGTAATTCATTTCACTTACAATTCACATGCCACACTGCCTTAAACTCTTCTGAAATGCCTGCTATGTGCAAGTCACTGTCCTAGGAGCTAGGAATATAAAGATAAAAATGAAAACCCATCCCTACCTTCAAAGAGCTCAAATTATCAAAAAGCACTTCGTGCCACCCCATCCCCTGCCCATGGCAAACCTGGTCAACTGAGCCCAAGGAGGGCCCCTTCCCACCTTATAATTCTATAAATGTACCTCTAGTCGTCCAGGCTTGTGTGGTACACTTCCCATGCACCTTCTCTTGAGGGTGAGCCCCAGAACAGTATCTGCTCTCAGGAAAGGAAGGTTGGCATGTTCCTGTTGCATCTTCCCCCACTTCCAGGTCTGGAAAGTATGTCTAATTCCACCCTCTCCAGGCCCCAGTATATTCTCCAATACAGGTAGTGTGTGCATCCAAATCAGAGGGCATATAACATGTATGCCATTTCTGCAGGGGAAAGAAGATGAGGTGCTTAGGGGACTAGAGGAAAATGACTGCCCCCAGCCTGGGAAGGCATTGGGTGCAGATAAGGGGAAGGAGAAGCAGGCAGCAGCTTTAAGCCTGATGCATGGCTCTGCTATTCTCTTCAGTTCTAATACTTTCTTCACATAGCCCACTAGATTGTCTTGCACACCTCCTAGGACATGCACATTCCACTTTGGAGACCCTTGTTCTAAGACATTATTTTACACACCATTTAGACATTTTTATGGAGTGTGACCCGGACACCCCAACTGGACTCTTTTGGTCACTCAAGATTTTTCTCCAGCGCATGCCAGTGCTTCAGTATATTTGAGAGGCATGGGATACTTTGCAGGACAGGTTGTGGAATCACTGGACATAGATTTAGAACTAGACAATGCATTCTTGACCATCAATTTAACCCCTTTTTTTATAGATGAGAAAATTTTAGGATTAGAGATCCTAAATAACTTTCTTGAAACCATTCAGCTAGAAAGGATCTGAGCCAGGATTCAAACTCAGATCTTCTGACACGAAATGGAGTATTCTTTCCATACACTCTGCTACCTCCCATTTCTCTTCATTCAATGGCACACTGATATAAGGAGATTCCCTATCACTTGTCCAAAGCATCCTTTTTTACTTTGAGGGATGTATGACTGTAGAGTGAGGAAAGAACGACAGGTGAGAGTTGGGGGAAGTCAATGTTTTTGTACTATGTACTTAATTCATAAAAGTGCTATTAGGACTAGGGTTGATTCACCAGTGAGTCTTATACTCTGGAGAAAGAACCCTGTAGAGAGGTGAAGATGCTTACAGGTTAAATCCTATTTCAATGAAAAGAGAATAGAATATGTAAATCATCTTGTACTGGAATTCTGTCAACTGATATATAGTAATAGTGCTTTAAAGTGTATAAAGCACTGTACATATATATGTATATAATGCCATATAATCCTCACAACAATCTAGTGAGGTAGGTACCCCATTTTAGAAATGAGGAAACTGAGGCTGAGAAAAGTTAAGCGATTCATCCTGAGTCACACAGCTAGTACATGCCAGAGGCAGGATTTGAATGTAGTTCTTCCTGACTCCAAGTTCAACACTATTCACTGGTGCTCTTGGAAATATTTTCATAGAATCCTGGAATTGTAGAACTGCAGGAAATTTTGGAGAATTTTAAAGTGAGAAGGACTTCACAGATGAAGGAAATTAGTATCATAGAAATGAAATGATTTTCCCAAGTTCACATAACTAATAAGTGTCTGAGATGAGACTTAAGCTCAGCTCCTTTGAATATAAGCCCAGTGCTCCTGCCAATATCCCATTTCATCATCAAGATTATCATCAGACTATGATTTACTTGATTCATAAAAAAGATAACTGTACTCTATTCTGTGTCAAAGTAATCTCCTTTTTTGGCTTTAATTTTTTTAATTTAGAATATTATTTTCCCAATTACACGTACAAACAATTTTAACATTCATTTTTTAAAATTTTGAGTCCTGAATTCTTTTTCTCCCTCCCTTACCTCCCCCCTCCCTGAGACAGTAAACAATTTTATAATAGTTATACATGTACAATCATGCAAAACATGTTTCCATATTAGTCATGTTGTGAAAGAAAACAGAGACAAAAAAACCCACACCATGAGAAAAATAAAGAAAGTTAAAAATAGTATGCTTTGATCTGTATTTAGACTCCATAAGTTCTTTCTATGGAAGTGGGTAGAATTTTTCATCATGAATCCTTTGGAATTGTCTTGGATCACCGTATTGCTCAGGATAGCTAAATTATTCACAGTTGATCATTGTACAATATTGCTGTTACTATGTGCAATGTTCTCCTGGTTCTGCTTACTTCACTTTGCATCAGTTCACGTAAGTCTTTCCAAGTTCTTTCTTTTTTTTTTTTGGCTTTGAAAAGAACCAGTTCTCATTAAAGTAAATTCTGATTTTTTTTTTTTAATGTAGTAGATGGAGGGCTGAACATCTAGTTTTCTCTATGCTAGTTTGCTTTTATCTAATGCATTCTCTTTTTCAATCTCTTTCTTCCTTTTCTCTTCTTCCCTATCCCATTCTCTTCTCCATTCCCAAACTCCTGTTCTCCATCCCCCATGTCTTTCAGGAGCCCAAACACTTTGATAACTTCAGAGAATGGCCAGATGGCTACGTGCGCTTCATCTACCGAGGAGACGAGAAGAATGCTCAGCGCCATCTTAGTGGCTGGGCCATGCGGAACACCAACAACCACAATTGCCTGATCCTCAAGAAGTCTTGCCTTGGCGTGGTGGTGTGTGCACGGAGCTGTTACCTACCAGATGGTTCGAGGCTGCAACTTCGGCCTGCCATCTGTGACAAGGCCCGGCAAAAGCAGCAAAGTAAGATGGGGTGGGGGGTGTAAGGGCGAGGGAAGAAATGAGTCAGAGTCACGTAATGTTAGATCTTGAAGGGGCTTTAGACATGATCTTATCGAACCCCCTCACTTAACAGATAAGGAAATTGAGCTCAGAGGAGTTAAGTGACCTGTTAAAGGTCCTATAGGAGGACTACAAGTGGGAGTTCATTGTAATAGGAGTATTATTCTGAAATCAGTATTTTTCCATGGTGATGAGAAGGAAGTGGAATTTTTTTTTAAGCACTCAGATAAAAGGTCACTTATTATCTTATAAAATTGTGAACATGGGCAGACATGGTTGGTCTTAAGCAAAATTGTGGAGCAGATGAAGTTTGCCTTGGGTATCTTCTAATTTAAGAAGATGGCTCTCTCCCTGTAGGAATGCCCCCTTAGGGGAGCCAGGGGGAACCAAAAGGAAGAGAGATACTCTCTTAAGTTAGAAAATTCCCAAGGCTAACTTTATCTACTCCACAGTTTTGCTCAATACCAGACATATTTATCCATGTTCATGATTTCATAAAATAATAAGTGCCCTTTATTCCAGGGCTACAAATGTCAAAACATCATCCCTCTTTCCTTCTCACCACCATGGAGAAATACTGGTTTTTAGAATAATACTCCTTTTACAACAAGGTCTCCCTTCTACTCCTCTTTGTATTACTGGCATAACTCCAGTGCACTCAGAGCTCCTTTTGACTCCTGTCTACTCAGAAGTGGTAGTTCTACTCACAAGAAATCTTTACACAAGTATGGGATGGGATAAGAATTGGGGTGGTTATTGTAATCCATCCTACATACCCTACTATAGCCCAAACACAGGCATCAGCATTACAGCTAAGGTTAAAGCTTGGAGATATAAAAACTGTGGAACTTTAGAGCTGAGAGATTATCTGGTCCAATGTTCTAATTTTATAGATGAGGAAAACAGAACCCAGAAAGCTAAGTGACAGTGTCACACAACAATGGCAGGACCAGGATTGGAATCCATGTCTTCTGGTCCAGTGTTCTTCCCCCTACAGCATGCTACCTCCATTAGTGCATTGCCCCAAATGTTTACATTTTAACAAGACACTCCTAGAGATACAATCCCAATGCTTCACCCCATTTGTGACAGGCAGATGAAAAGGATGTTATGAGGTGAGGAGGGAAGGAGCAGTACTCAAATTACACTTATGTAAGTGACTAGAAAGACAGATTTCCAGAAGCCATGAAGGATGTCCTGTCCTTTGTTTAAATAGCTCTATCATTTCATACCTTAGCTTCAGGTTTCCCCAGGCAACAAGTAAAGGTGGAAAGTTGTGAAGGCGTTGGTAAAATCTGGGTATGGGCTAGAAGGGAGGAATGAACAAGACAAAGGAAGGAGGCAACCTCCCAAATTGAGACACAAATTTTATTGAGCCCAGATTCTCTGCTTCTTTTCTTGCACTTGTGTCTTAGCTAATTATGTGGGCAGACTCTTTAAAGAATCATGGGAATTTGTGGTCACTAAAACACACACAAAAAAAAGATGTGTGGTGAGATATTCTTGTGTGCTAAGCTGTTTAGATGGAGTGAATTAGCTTGGTCACTGGTCAAATGATCTAAGATAACAAACTGGATTTTGAAGCATAACTATTATCTTTCCATCAGCTTGAAGGGTTTGTGGTGGTAGTGTTTTTATTAGAGAGAGATCCACTAATATCTTCCCTTGATCTTGCAGAAAAAGCATGTCCCAATTGTAATTCAGCTTTAGAGTTGATACCTTGCCGAGGTCACAGTGGCTACCCTGTTACCAACTTCTGGAGGCTCGATGGCAAGGCAATATTTTTCCAGGTAAGATAAATCTGTGTTTTGTGATAAGGATTTAGACCAATTCTATATGGAACTGTAAGTCCAGAGTGGGAAATATCCTCAAAAGCTGTCTAGTCCAATCCCCTCATCTTATAGGTGTGGAAAATGAGGCCCAGGGAAGTTGAATCATTTTTCCAAGGCTCAAAAGTTGAGCCATATTAAGTGGAAGAAACCATTTGCTGTGATAAATTTGAGCACCAAATATACCGAAATACCTTAAGATATCAATTGTTTAAGTCCTGTCCTTCAGTGGGATAGGGTGTTATCTTCAATTTGACAAGTGAGGTTATTGAGACTCAGAGAGGTCTCAAAGTCACACAACTGGTTAGGGACCAGAGGGAAAGGAAAAGAAGGATTAGAATCCAAATCTCCTATTTCCTAGTGTACTGTGTTAGGTAGCATAGTGGATAGAGTGTTGAGCTGGAGTCAGAAAGACCTAAGTTCAAATCCAGCCTCCAGCACTTACTAGCTGTATGAGAGCAAATCACTTAAACTCTGCTTGCCTCAGTTTCCTCAACTGTAAAATGAGCATAATAACTGTACCTTTCTTCCAGGGTTGTTGTGAGAATCAAATGAAACCATATTTGTAAAGTGCCTGGTACATAGTGGGAACTATAGAAATGCTTATTCCCTTTTCTTCCCCTTCTTCATGTCATGCCTAAATAGTCCTAAATGGTATTCTAAATATATCTAGTATAGTTTATGTGAAGAATCTTGTTCAATGTAGCTACACAATGATAGCACTTTCTGGTAAACGTAAAGCCTTTTATATGGTACCTCATAAACCATTATACTAAATCTTTGTTCTTAAAAAGTCAGGATTCTTGGAATTGTTTAGCATCCTGTCTACACTTAGGTAAACACGTATGTGATTAATGTTTTGAACCGGGATACAGGCTAAGGGAGTTCACGATCATCCAAGACCAGAAAGTAAATCAGAGACAGAAGCAAGAAGAAGTGCTATCAAGAGACAAATATCATCTCACCAGGCTCAAAAAAAGAGGAACATGGAGTCCCAGGTATTGCCTTGTGTTTCTATGTTGCTTTAGAGTTTAAAAAGTATAAAAATGCTTATTTATTCATTAAAAAAATGTATTAAGAACCTACTGTATGGGGACATCCTGAAGAAAAAAAAACTCCTGTTCCTGCCCTTAATGAGCTCCTATTTTTTTTTTCCATTTTATACTCATTAGAACCCTAAGAGGTTGGTAAGGTTCCATTATTTATTTATATGCATGTTGTTTCCCCCCATAGAATGTGAACTCTTTGAGGGCAAAGACTTTCACTTTGGCCTTTCAATTCTCAGCACATTTTATAGTGCCTGGAACATAGTAGTTGCTTAATTGATACTTGTTGATTGATTGAGACAAGGAAAAATAAAGGGAAGAGAAAGAATTTGAGAGTACTCTCTTTTTTAAATGTTAACACAAAAATAAGCTGAATATTATGCACATTGGGGATTCTTTCAAGTTATTAACTTAGGGACAAGACAAAAAATTTCCTGGCAATTCAGCCCAGGAACCTTTTTTGTTTTTTTGTTTTATTTTTAGGCAGTTGGGGTTAAGTGATTTGCCCACGGTCACACAGCTAGTAAGTGTCAAATGTTTGGTCTGAGGTCAAATTTGAACTCAGGTTCTCCTGACTCCAGGGCCAGCGCTCTATCCACTGCACCACCTAGCTGCCTCAGAAAACTTGTTTTCTAAGGACAGTTTCACGGTGTGCCCAGTGTTGCAATGGCAAAAGCATTGTGTTGGATTGGTAGTCAGGGGGCCTGGGTTTAGATCTTTGCTCTGCTGTATGGCCTTTTACAAATCACTCAGCCTCTTTGGATCTCAGTTTCCTTATCTGTAAAATCTGTGTTCAAATCCTGCCTCTCTCAATTACTACTTGTGTGACTTTGGGCAAGTCACTGGTACTCAGTCTCCTCATCTGTAAAATGAGGGAGTTAAACTAGATGGCCTCTTAGCTCTCTTCCAGCCCTAATCTATGATCCTCTGAACTAAATAAGTGTCATAAGCTCAGAAGCCATGGGGATAATACTGAAAAAAAAGACAGACACCATTCCCCCCACTCAGCCATGCTGAGTTGCCTGCTATCACTCCATATTCTTCCTAGTGGCCACACTTACCCTCAAGCTATATAAACTGTGGCTTCCTTTTCTTCTTATGTTTAGTATAATGCCCTACATGTCAGGAATATTAATTTATTAACCTAGGGGTTGGTTCCTCCAACTGGTTTTGCTCTCTACCATAATCCATGGAGGGTCAGGGTTACAAGGTAATTTAGAGAGCTACCCCTTAAATGATATATCTAAGAAACATAATTGTCCCATACGACCTGATGTAATCATAATAGTACAAATTACTAATCACAGTTCCTCAGAGGCCACCTAAAACGGATACTGTCATTCTTCCCTATGATACCTGCAGGCAATCTCCTATCCAGCTTTACCCTATATAATCAACCTCTTCTCTGCTCTCTCTGCACACTTCTACTATCACATGAGGGAAACCACCTTCTCCCACATAAGCGTATTAAATCTAAACATTAACCTAAGGACTAGATAAAAATCATGTATTGCCAGTGGAAATGGAAGTTTAGTTATTTTTAATTAGTCGTAGATGTCTGAGAAGAAGTTATTTCCCCCTCTGGTTTAGCTTAGATTCAGATAGTCAGCCTGCTTTGTGCTCCCTGCTGTGCTATGCACTGGAGAGGACACAGAAGTATAGGATCTTTTTTTTTCTTCTTCATTTTTTAGGGCTTGCCTCCTTAATTAGCCCTAGTTTCCCTCCTGAGCTATCCCCAGCACTTAGCACAATGTCTCACATATAGCAATTATTCGATGTTTGTTGACTGACTAGCTTACTGTTTGGAGCTGCTATCTCAAAATGCTTTTCCTGTGAAAGTTCTGAAGTCTTTGCTTTTCCTCCAAGTTACAGGAGCTAACAACAACATTGCTGGTATAGAATGAAGAAAGTATAATTTCCATGAAAATGTTAGCATAGAGGATGATGAGGCTTTGTATCCTAATCTATTTGAAAGATACATTATTCATTTTTAACACTTTTCTTCCAGTTAGGTTACTCTTGCAATCCTTTGCTGTTTTTCCTAATTACAGAAGTGTACTGGGGCAAAACTGATATAGTTTACTGCTATCACTGTATGTCAAAAAGATGCACATCATCTAATTCTTCATCTGCCTTTGTTTCATTTTTCAGATTGAACAGTATCAAGACACCAGTGGTCATTTCATAAATATTTCATCCAGCTCAGAAAACCTAGAAAGGTTTAGTATAGACACCAGCTTTCCTATTCTGGCTCAGCCTTACCCTTCTTTCCAAAAATCTGATCCTTACAAAGCTACCTATGACTCAGCCTGCTTTCAAGAAGACATAATTCCACCCTTTCAGAAATGCCCAAATCCTAGGATCTATATGTCTAGGCCAACTTGTGGCTATGAATTCACAGTTCCCAATTACATAAACTCTAGCCCATATCCCAACCTCTACAGAGATTCCAGTAAAAAACACAATGACACAGATTGGACTTATCTCAATGGACCACAGTGTAGTGTCAATTCACTTAGTACCCATGATCAGAACTTGGATGTCTCCAATAAACATCATGGGAGGAAAGCAACTCTTGGGAAAACTGGCTGTGGGGAGAGGAATAACCATGGACAGTTCCAGGCCCCTGCCACTCACCCTTATAATTCAGAATACTCCTGCAGGTACTTAGGGAGTGCCTCACCAGCAGCTCCAGCTCTGCAGACCGTGATCACCACCACCACTAAAGTATCTTATCAGGCCTATAAATCACCTGTTGTGAAATACAATAACAATGTATGTGATGTAAAAAGCCTTCAGAGCTGTAGCCACATGTCAGATTGCACCCCGAGGACCATCTATCCAGAAGTTAAGATTCAAGATGACTGTCAAGAAAGCAAATCCACTTTGGCATACATTGAGGAACCAATTCCAACCAAGGGAAAGCGAGTAGATGCTTGGGATGTGTATCAATTCGGGCTGGCCCCTGGAAACAGTTATTCTGATCAAGTAGATCAGCTCTTTAGATGTGAGAATGAGGACTTCTGAAGGACAATCTGAAGTTCAACAAAACTGATTACAGTTTTGAGAGCATGCTCACACATCATGCAAGTGATGATTGCAATACTTTTGTGATCCATGATTTCATTGGTGCAGATACTCCCTTCCCTGACACAGATTATAACCCACACCTTAATAGATGGCTTCATGAGTTGCTGTGACAAAAATTTTTTTTTATGATTTCATGACCAATCATCTGATTGACTAGCCCTTGGAAGACAGACATACAGTCCAGATCTATCCTCAAAATTTCTATATTATTACTAGGTATTATTATTTGTATTTTATAGATGATAAAACTGAAATGACAAGAACTTAAACAATGAGGCTAATTAATGGAGAAGCATAGAGCAGAACCTAGATCTTCTGACTCCATCTTAATGGAGAAGATGACATTAGGTCAATTGCATATGATCTCATGTTTCATTTCTACAGCTGATAAGTAACTTTCAGAAGATTATTTGTCTGTATGCAATATCTACACATGCAGCTGGCTAAGTTTACTGAGCAGAACACTATTGAGTGAGCTCTTTAGGGGCACTATTTTTTCTTTTGGGGGAAAAAGGCTATTTAGATTTTCAAATGAAGATAAATGTAACAATTACTAATGTTTTAAACAGTAAAAGCCTAACAGTAGCATGATTTATCGATTGTTATTGTATTAAAATGTATTTATCTTGATGTAATTTTAAAACTACAACTGATATTTAGTTTTCATTTCCCAAGAATATCACTCTTCCTTTCCTCCCATTCTAAATGAAACTTGCTATTTTTTTTACTACATGCAAAAACAATGTATTTAAATTGGTATATCAGAGGTTCTTGATTTCTTCATGCCAAAAGAAGAAATGGAAGTTCACATTAGCACATTTTATACAAGTCTATATTGAATAGATTGGAAATTTGCTTTCTAACACTTAGTAGTGGAATCTGGTATAACTAGAGAACCACTCTGAAAATGCTCAGTTTCCAAAGCTAATAACTAAACTGAGGGAAGAAATAGATCATTTTGACCTGTTGAGGGAAATATGTACATGTACATATGTATGTATGGATGTTTATATATACACATAAACTTTCTAGTATGCCTATCATGCACATGTACCATAGTTTGTTTGAAATAATTCAGAAAATGTTATATTTTAAAAGTTGGGTGAATAGAATCTCAGATTCACAATGAAAAGAATACCCCACTGGCCATGTGGTTGTCCAGTCTGCTTGAAGACCATCAAGAAGAGGGAGCCAATCACCTCCAAGGGCAGCCTATTCCACATTGGGACAGCTATAATTCTTAAGCAGTTTATTTTCCTGACATCAAGCTTAAATTTTCCTCGTTGCAGACTCTTCCAAAGCTCCTACTTCTGCCCCCAGGGGCCAAATCCAAAGAGTAGCATTGTATCTTAAGAAGATGCATGCATAGGAGGACTATCTGGCACCTGACTCATTACTGCAATTACATAACACACTGATAGGAACAAGACAAACAGGAAAGAACTTATCAAAGAATAAGCTAATGTGTATGTAGCATATGAACATTATGACTCTGAAGGTGTTATCTACCATGAAAAAAATTTTTTAAAGCACTAGCAAATTAGGGAACTGTTTCTGTTTAGCTGTCAGAGTGCTTTTTTAAAAAAAATAAATTGTCATTATTCTCAACTCAACAAACATCAAAATAAGCTCTATTATATACACAGAAGAATAGAAGAAGATCATGCCTGTAACTGTGAATCCCCTGTTATGTACAGCTTCCTTTTCAAGTATAATAAATTGAACATGTAACTTTCAAAGCCTGCTGGTTCATCTGTGATTGCTTTTTAGCCTTCAGTTTTCAATACTAATATTTTATTTAATTATAGTCATCTGTAATTAAAATTATATTTGCTTTTTTACAAGTTTTATTATAAATCACACCTGTGACCCAGGTTTGGCTTACCTTATTTTTATGCAGCACTTGATACTTTTAAGTATTTAATTAAATTCAATGTTCATTATTGAGTACCTACTATGAATGAGTACTGGGCTAAACACTGAAGATACAAAGATAAAATTCTTTATCACACTCATCAGGAAGCTTACTTTCTAACATGATGAGAAAATGGGTAGAAATGAAGTATGTACACAAATAAATATAATAAAATTTCAAAAATGGATGAGAGATCAGAGTGGAATATGAGCTTCTGAGTGAGAAAGATCACTTCTAATAGGGGAAGGATCTGGAAAAAAAGGAAAAGGATGTTAAATGATGAAGATGGTTATTAAAAGGAGTAAATAAATTATTCTTGATACGGCAGAATTAGTGTGCAAAGGTTTGGAAGAAAAAGAAGGCAGGATGATTTAGGGGAACAGTGTTTGGCTGAAATAGAGTTTTCAATGAGGAAGTCAATCAACAAATATGTATTAAGTACCTACTATGTGCCAGGAAAAGGCAGCTAGGTGGCTTGGTGGATAGAGCACTGAGCCTGTAATCAGGAAGACCTGAGTTCAAATCTGATCTCAGATACTTATGAGCTGTATGACCCTGGGCAAGTCACTTAACCTCCATTTGCCTCAATCCATTGGAGTAGGAAATGGCAAATCACTCCAGTATCTTTGCCAAGAAAACTCCAAGGACAGTATGGTCCACAAGGTCATGAAGAGACAGGCATGACTGACACAACTAAACAAAAATATGTGGTAGATACTGTGCTAAGGGATATGAAAAGAGACAAAAGACAGTTCCTGTCCTGAAGGAGCTTACAATCTAGTGGGGGAGACAATGTGCAAATAAATAGATATAAAGCAAGTTGTGTACAGGATAAATAGGGAATATTAACAAAGAGAAGGCATTAGAATAAAAGGGATTAGGGAAGGCTTTCAGCAAAAGATTCTGTGAAATGAGCCTGGAAAACTAGCAGACTAGGTTACAACCAGATTGTTAAAGCTTTGAATGTCAGGATAAGGAATCTGTGTTTTATCTGATAGGAAACAGGGAGATACTGAACATTTTTGAGCAGGAGAGTGTCTTGATCAGAGCTGTGAATTAGGAAGATTATTTTGGCAGTTCTTTAAAGGACAGATTGAAGAAAATAGAAAATGGAGACAAGGGGGCCATTTATAAAGCTATTATGATAGTCTAAGTAAGAAGTGATAAGGGCCTGAACTAGGGTAGTAGCTGTATGAAGGGAAAGGAAATGACAAATGAGAGTGAAATTGCAGAGCATAAATTAATAGTGAAGGAGAAAGGAAAGGGATACACATTACATGGAGCCCACTATGTGCCTTACAAATATTACCTCATTTGATCCTTACAACAACTGGGAGGTAGGTATTATTATTACCCTCATTTTACAGACGAAAAAGCTGAAGCAGATAGCAGTTAAGTGTCTCACCCGGAATGGTATAGCTAGTAAGTATCTGAGGCTGAATTTGAACTCAGGTCTTCTTGTCTCCAGGCCCAGCACTATCCACCGCACCACCTCTCTGCTTCATAAACAGGAACTGGCAGCTGAATAGATGTGAGGAGTAAAGGAGAAAAAAGAGTCAAAGATGACTCAAAGATAACCACGTAAGCAGAAAAATTGTGATACCATAAATAGAAAAAGGATTTCCATTTTGGGCTTAGAATGCTAGACTTTAGAGTTAGAAGGGTCATCAGAGGTCGTCTATTGCAATATTTGTCAAGTTGTTTTCCAGACTCTAATTAAACATTTCCAAAAATAGGGCACTCACTACCCACCTGACAAATCTAATTTAAGGTACTTTCAAGTAGAAGTTTTTGTCAGTCTCCCTGTTGCCTCTAGAATCAAATACAACATGCTCTGTTGGGCATTCAAAGCCCTTCGTAACCCAACTCCCTCCAAGCTTTCCAGTCTTCTTATACCGCACTCCCCTACGTGGACTCTTTGATCCTGTGACACTGGCCTCCTTGCCATCTCTCTCAGCTCCTGCAGCCTTTTCCCTGGCTGTCCCCCATGTCTAGAATGCTCTCCTTCCCCAACTCCACCTACTGGTTTCCCTGGCTTCCTTTAAGTCTCAACCAAAATCCCACCTTCTACAGAAAAACCTTCCCTAACCCCTCTTAATTCCAGCAACTTCCCAGTCATTTCCTATTTATCCTGCATATAGCTTGCTTTGTATATATTTGTTTACATGTTGTCTCCCCCATTAAATTGTAAGCTCTTTGATGGCAGGGATAGTCTTTTGCCTCTTTTTGTATCCTCAGTGTTTAGCACAGTGCCTCACACATAGTATGTGCTTAATAAATGCTTATTAATTGATGGAGTTAGAGATACATGGGGAGGTAGGAATGGACATGATTTATTTTAGAGTCAGCTGTATAGAAGTGTTGTTATTTGTCCTTCATTCTCCCTTTTATTTTTTTATTTTTTTAATTAATTAATTTTGAATTATCAACCATCACTTCCATAAGCTTCTGAGCTTCAAATTTTTCTCCCTCTCCCTCCCCACCTCCTGCCCCAAGATGGCATGCAATCTGATATAGGCTATACATATACATTCCTATTAAACATATTTTCACATTAGTGATGTAAGTAAGAATTAGAGCCAATAGAAGGAACCACTAGAAAGAGGAAACAAAAAAAAACAGAAGAAAAAAATAGCAAATAGTATGTTTCTATCTGCATTCAAACTCCATAGTTCTTTCTTCTTTGTGAATAGCATTTTCCATCATGAGGCCTTTGGAGATGTTTTGTCCTTCATTCTTGAAGAGGACCATGATATTAGGAATGTGATACCATGACTTGCAAATGAATTGGATTTAAGTAAGGGAAGGCTGTGCAAGGTCACCAGATTCATTTTCTCCTCCAGAGTCATCTGGATCTAGTAGCAAGATATAGATCAGGTCGACTGGAGATGGCCACTAAAATAGAAGTGGAAATTGAAGCCAGCAGAGTGAATTAGTTTGCCAAGGAAGAGAGTGTAGGGAAAGAAGAGACAAAACATTTTCAAATACATATGTAAGAGACTTGTCTTGGGCATTCCCAGAT